CAGACTTTAAATCTCTTGTCAAGAGGATGATGGCTCACCACCAAAAATGTCTTCTCATACATGTTTCTAAGAGATAGAGGGATATTAGAGAACTCAAGAGAAAAAAAACGGGGGTAATTTCATAGAACTTGAAAAATTAAGGTTCGAAAAATATAAAACCATGTATATTTTGGATAAATCATGTATTGTGCTTTAGAATGAAGTGTTTGCACACATATTTCACTTTACATCACAACCATTTCCCAGGTAGGTAGAGCACATGCAATTGTCTGTTTTCTATTATTAAATACAATTTTTCTCCTATATGCAAGTATAACTCAGAAAATGTCATGTCATACCAGTAAAAATTTTGTGTCTTACAACAAAAAAAAATAGTAATTAAAATTTTATTTTCACACTTATAAGTCCTTTTAATTATAAAGGTGTGATCTCAAACTCTTACTTTTATGGGAATTTCACTGTTTTTTAAACATGTAATCTAGTTCTGGCTTGTTAAGACAAAAAGAATTCCTCAGATGTTACCCTAAAATGAAACACTCAGAGATAAACTGGCCAGGCAACCTCAATGAAGTTTTTCTGTTCACTTCCCTTGTCTTCAAGGGTCTCTCCTGCTAATGCATGTAGTCAAAACATTTCATCATTAAAGGCTTGTGCTTGCAAAACCATCAACAAATCAAAATCTGAATTTCATTTTATAGATAATATCCTTGTAACCACCATTATATTCATGAAGTGATAGGAATGTCATTTATTCAAGCTCTTCCCAGTAATTCCCTCCCTATCATTGCTGCCCTAGCCAGTAGAGGAAAATAGAAAGCTAAAATGGAATAGAAATGTGTAAGATATAAAAGAAATAACTAGGTATAAAAGCATATATAAAAGCTAAATTAAGAGAATAAATTTAAAAGGGGAAGAATCATTAAAACATCAAGATAAACGAATGAAAGTATGGAATTACAAGTATACAAAGGAAACAGATACAAGGCCATGTACCAACTATCAGGCGTTCTGTATTTTGCGCAGTTCTGGGGATCTAATCATATGTAAGAGGGGGGCATTTTAGAGGACAGGAAAAACATGGAAATCAAATAAATGGGCTGTAAGATTCCATTCATTCCTTTTTTCATCCTCACTGAGTTTAACTGTAGGGATCCTCTATACAATTTGGTTTGGAAAAATGGGGGTAAAGGGACATCTATGCTGTAAAGGAAAAAAAATGCTGCTAGACATATGTAAATTCCCTCAGTACATTATCTAGAATTAACTAGAAATTATTTTTGATCGCTTATGGTTTGGGGGCCCTAAACTATTTTATCTCCCTCAGCACCCAGGTTTTTGTCTCATATTTTCTTTCTAAAAATATTGTAATACAATGTGCAGCAGTTACATTGTGCTGTAATTTCCTTCTCATTTCAACTGTCAAGTATAGACTTCTCCTATACTTCATTACTTTTTTCAATGTATCTAAAATTGCTTTACCTTTTGGTTTCTGGTCATGAATGCCAGGACTTTTAGAAGTACAGGAAGGTGAGGAAGGTAGCCCATACTGACATTGAGAAGGCCTGGTCTGATAATTTCCTTGTAACATGACAAATGTTAACTAGTAATTCAACAAATATCTATTGGTATTTTGTGGGTAAGGGGAAATGTAATGCTTGGTTTATGTCTTCAAGGAGTGCACAATTTGCAGAGTAGAAACATAAGATAATTATGATATAAAATCATTGTTATAAGTATTTAAGGCAATAAGTAGGCTGAAGATCAAGTGAAAGAGTACATGTTATGCATATAAAAAGGCCTTCACTCAATTCATGATGAGTGAAGCACCACATGATACCCAATCACCCTTAGATGTGACCCCCACAAGAATAAAAACAAATGTGCCAAGGAACACAAGGGACCAGGTAATGCTTCATTGATGCATGTCAGTGGCCAAAAAAGGATTATAAGAAAGTTGACATTCCTTGGATCTTGGATGAAGAATCTTGATATAATTTATATGAATTTTACTGATATTTGATAAATTATTTCAGAAAATGTTTGTTACCACATTCTAAAGATCTGGTCCTGATGATGATACTTATACAGTCAATCTATCCATTAACTGAAATCATAAAATTTCTGATAGAAAAGTTACTTTTTACTTAAAATATGTGAACTGCAACTTGTCATCAATCTATTTTGAAATATAATTTGTTATGCTGTACAGTTTTGACTGTCCTAGGAAATATTTTTGTTAAGTACTTGAGATGATTGGATGGCCATGATACAGTGCATGATGCAAATCTGTTGTAATAAAGGTTTTTAAATATGTTAGAGAAAAAATGTTTAAAAGGTCAATTTATTATGGAAGATAAAAGCCAAGTATGCCACCTATAAAACACACAGCCAGAGGTCTTAGTTGATTCTAGTCTTAATTAAAAATCCAATAGTGTCATCAAATTGCCATGAGAATAATTAAACCTTAGGCTATACTAATTGCGAAGCAGTTAAAGTTAAATACTTAAATAAGTACAAAAGATGCAATGGTGTATGCCATTATCTTAATGGCAATAGTAATTATAAAATAAATAGATTCACAGATAGCCATTCTAAAAATGTTCTAATAGAAATTTATACTTGGTGCTTAAAAGAGCAAATATATAACACCTCATTATGCAAGAAGAGTACACAAAAACAACATAAATAGAACATTTCTAATCAAATGTAATATGAGCAGAAATATAGATATAATTAGCAGAAAGAGATTTTGAAAAATAAAATACTGTAAAATCAAATAGAGGTAAACAAATATGAATTTTGTGTAACCGAAGCACTATCTGAATAGGGAATTTGAAACTTGGAAAATAAACTCAACTGGGGAAAAAAGAATTTACCTATTTTGTAGTTTCAAATTCTCTTAATTCTAAATCTGTGAAAATTGTATGAGACTGTACTGTATAATCTATTGTGTCAAAATTCCTTAGGAGTAGGGGTCACAGTATCTACATTCTGTCCTTGCTAGATATTTTCCTGATTATTTTTTACACTTATAATTTGTTTCCTTAATAAAATTTTACTCTGCCTCTACCTTGCTCTATGATAAGAAGTTCATAAGGGGGCTGAAGAGTTAGCACAGTGAGCATGGCCAGGAGTGATGCTGAGCACAGAGCCAAGAGTAATGGCTGAGCAGAGTCATATCAGCACAGTAGCCCAAGACCAAACAAAAATGTTGACTATGATGATTTTTACTTTCAAGAAATATGCCAGGATCTGGAGTGATAGCACAGCGGGTAGGGCATTTGCCTTGCATGCGGCTGACCTGGATTCGATTCCCAGTATCCCATATAGTCCCCTGAGCACCTCCAGGAGTAATTCCTGAGTGCAGAGGCAGGAGTAACCCCTATGCATCACCGGGTGTGACCCAAAAAGCAAAATAAATAAATAAATATGCCAAATATAATATCAGATGAATATATAAATTAATAATTAAATCTAAGGTATGACCTAATATGTTGAAACTTTATTCCTATCTCTAGAAATTATCTTGATTTTTGCTCTCCTGCTTTGCTTTATGCAAACATTATGGATTAGGACTTAGTCACCTTTCTCAGGTGGTTTGTGAAAAAGCTGCCAGTGGCTTCATCCATGACTTTACTATCATATTGTCAACATCGCTTATCCTGATGTTGATAGTACCTATCTAACTCTGAAAATATTTTTCAAATTTTTTGTGCCTCAGATTTCTTGGCTGTAAATTAGTCTAATAATGCCCGTAACTTTGAGTTGTTGTGAAGTTTTAAATAATGCAAAGTATGCTACATACTTAGAATAATATCTGATACTTATTTGGAATATAGTAAAAGTTCTATTAAAGTAGACATCAAAGACCTTCTCATACAAGTGATGCCTAGGTTGAGTTTTATAAGTGAAGAGGAAATAAGAAAAACTAATAGCATAGTATCACTGTTTTTGTGCTTTATCATCTCTTTCATAATTCACCCTGACTTTACTTCTTACATCTTCTCAGCATCCTCCCAATGAAGGCTCATCTGACACAAACCTGATGCCTATCTCCTCTGCTGCAAATTCTTCTCCTTGATCCTTTCCCATCTCACAGACTATACATAATTCTATTTTTATCATTTATATTTATCTCTCCTTTCACCTGGTAGTTTTATGAGTGTGGGGATTTTTATATATCTTACTGATGTGCCATATAGTTGTGACACATAGAAGATAATCAGTATTTTTTTTGCATAAATTGTTGTTTTTTAAAATAGAAAAGCAGAGGCCACAGTGATTTGTCCAACAGATTAGATAAAGTATTTTTGGAATATATAAAAATAGAATAATTAACATGTATTTAATACATGCATACTTAAAATTTCTAAAAATTAGAAAGAATTTCAGGGTCCAATTTTGAAACTTTTCTATGAATGCTATCCTAAAATATTCTACTTGTTTTTCATAGAATTTAATATTCTTATTTATGTTTTCATTTATAAGTAATTCATGTTTGGGAAAGCTCAAGATTGGAATCCCCTAAAATATTATGGTAATTATTGGTTCACTTTTCTTATGCTCTCTCCTCATATTTTGCCAAAAACATGTCCTTGCTTTCCTAACGTGGTATTCATCAACATTCCTCTCTTAAGAAATGCCTGCCCTGGCTTTAGTATCTTTAGTATCACTGACTATGAAGGAGAGGTAAGTAGAACAGCAAAAACAAAGCTGTGACTTTGAGCATACTGCACAGAGCAGAGACAAGTCAAGAGATGGTACTGAATATTAGTTCAGTCTGTGGGGGCAAAAAGTATTCTTCAAAGAAAAAAACAAGAATACAGTATTCAATTTTACTTTATTTTTTAACAGTGTTGGAAGTTTGATCTTCAATGACTATAACAAAAAGTGAAGAATGAGATTATAGAAGTCTCTCTTTCTGTGGTAAAACATCTAGGCGACATATGAACACTTCTACCTTCTACAGTATGAGTACCTTATGAAATCTGGGGGAGAAGATGATGTGGGGAAACTGGACAATTGTCAGTGAGTTTGTTCTTTTGAGCTTCTCAACCCTACCCTCTGAGCTACAAGCCCTTCTATTTTTCCTTTTTTTGACCATTTACATGGTTACCCTAATGGGAAATGTCCTTATCATCCTGGTCACTACAGTTGATTCTGCCCTACAGAGTCCCATGTACTTCTTCCTCAGGAATTTGTCCTTCCTGGAAATAGGTTTCAACTTGGTCATTGTACCCAAGATGCTGGGAACCCTAATCATTCAAGACACTACCATCTCCTTCCTTGGCTGTGCCACTCAGATGTATTTCTTTTTCTTTTTCGGAGCTGCCGAATGCTGCCTCCTGGCCACAATGGCATATGATCGCTTTGTGGCCATCTGTGACCCTTTGCGCTACCCAGTCATCATGGACCGCAAAGCATGTACCCAACTGGCAGCTGCTTCTTGGTTCTCGGGATTTCCTGTGGCCACAGTACAAACCACATGGATCTTCAGTTTCCCGTTCTGTGGCCCCAACAGGGTAAATCACTTCTTCTGTGACAGCCCCCCTGTCATTGCACTGGTGTGTGCTGATACCTCTCTGTTTGAACTAGAGGCGCTGACAGCCACTGTCCTATTCATCCTCTTCCCTTTCTTGTTGATCCTAGGGTCCTATGTCCGCATCCTCTCCACTATTTTCAGGATGCCCTCAACTGAAGGGAAGCGCAAGGCCTTCTCCACCTGCTCCTCCCACCTCCTGGTTGTCTCCCTCTTCTATAGCACTGCCATCCTCACATACTTCCGACCCCGATCCAGTACCTCTCCTGAGGGCAAGAAGCTGCTGTCACTCTCCTACACAGTGGTGACACCCATGTTGAACCCCATCATCTACAGCTTAAGAAATAGTGAAGTGAAGGCTGCATTGAAGCGGGTCATCCGCAGGACCCTGGGCCCTAGGAAACTATAACTGACAGATGAAAACCTAAGGGCTAGAATGCAGGGAAAAAATATTTCTCAAATCAAATTTTGGTTCTGCTCTTCCAGGACTAGGGATATTAGACTTTTCACTTGGAATCTGTTTCTGAGTAAGGGAACCTAAGTAATTAACCTAAGTGATTAAAGAAAACATGACCTACTTTTCATCTGGATTATGGTTTCAGTATCTCAAGGAATGCTGCTAGTTTATACTGATTAGGAACCAATACGGGCCATGATGACCCCACTACAGTTTGTCATTTGTTTTAGACTTTCTTGGACTGTTATCCATTTAGTTTTATAATCTTCAGCTGTGCTTGCTTTATTTTGATCAAAAACTCTATCTGCAACCCTCAAAAGTAGTAAGCACACAAGCTAAAAAATTATTAATATTGATATAAAGAGGAGACATTTGTTTCATTCTTTTATTTCTTTTTTCCAATAAAGTCAGTTGAAATTAAAAATTTCTACAAAAGTTTCTTCAGTACTCCACATACTAGATTATGTGTAGGCCTACAGGACATATTTGTAAGCAAAACAGACTTTTAATTTTTCCTCATACAATTTACAATTTTGCTCTAGTGAAGTATGATATAATAAAAAGATAGTTAAAACTTTACTAATCTATGAAGCATGCACGTTTAGAGGATTAACAATTGAGGGAATCTTCCTTTCCTACTATAAGCGGTGCCTCATCTGGAAAAAAACTATTCCATGCTGACAACTAACAAAATTATTTTTGATAGGTCTCTTTTTTATTTTTGACAGGCTGAGAATGTTTTATCAATTTTATTAATCTTTTAAAGATTCAACTTTGATTTTATTGACTGCCTCAATTTGTTTGTTTTGTGGCTAATTTACACTTTGATTGCATAATTTATGGTATTATGCACAATTTGGGTTGAATTGATTCTTATTTTTCTATTTCCTTAGGTGAATTTTGAATAATTATATTGAGATATTTCTTTATTTTAAATATAGAAGTAAAAATAATGTGATAAATTTGCTCCTGTGTACTGTTTTAACATTATCTCATTAGCTATGACATAGTATGGTTTCACTTCACTGTGATCAAATAATTTTTTCTTGTGAAAATTTCTCTAGCAATAGCTTATAAAAAGTGTGCAACTTATTTTTCAAATACTTGAAAATTTCTCGAAGATATTTCTGTTATTTATTTCAAAATTTATTCCATTGCTCGAGCAAATTGATGAACAATGGGAGGACAGTGCTACAATGCTACAGTGTCACATAAAATACATCATTAAATTTGGATCCTTTACTGAGACAAGTTTTATGGTTCAGAGACTAATCTAAATTGGTAAATATTCTGTGTACTTTAATGTATATCATTGCTATTAAATGGGACTTATTCATAAATGTTCTAGACTCCATAAAATACTCAGTCAACTGAATATTTAATCCGTTATTAAAACCAAATAGATAACTTAAAAAAGATAGCTAAAATAGGAGATTTTTGTTATATATCCCACTTTTACTAGAACATGAAAAACCACAAAATATAAAAAACATTTTAATTATAACTCTACTATGGGTCTAGTATTCAGAATTTATAAAGAACTTGTGCAACTCAAGAACAGCAACAACAGCAAAATAACACAATTTTTAAGTGGGCAGATAACTTGAAAGAGCATTCTCCAAAATAGATATACAAAAGGCTAACTAACACAGATGGCAAACTTCATTAGGCATTTGGGAAATGCAAACTAAAATCACAAAGTGAGGTACATGAGGTCAGACACTTACCTTGCATGAAACTGCTTCAGTCAGCCCTGGTTCAATCCCCAACAACACATACGCACCCCTGAGCACCACCAGAGGTCCCTCCTGGGCACAGAACCAGGAATAGCCCCTTAAGAAATGCCAGATGTTCCCCATTCTTCTTCCCAAAATGTAATACAAAATTTTAATAATGAAGTCATACCATTGGACACCTACTAGAATATCTATAATTACTATTAAGTATAGAAAAAGGAGAGAAGAAGGTACCAAGGGAGAGGGAGAAAAACAGAGAGAGGGGTGTTAGGAGAGGGACGTGGAGGAGAAAGAGTATTGGTGAGGACATTTAGAAACTGGAATAATCATACTTAGCTTTTGGGAATGTAAAATATTGCAGACGCTTTGAAAAATGCCTGGTTCCAAAATAAGATAATACAGGGGCTGGAGGGGTAGGGCGTTTGCCTTGCACATGGCCGACCCAGGTTCGATTCCCAGCATCCCATATGGTCCCCTGAGCACTGCCAGGAGTAACTCCTGAGTGCAGAGCCAGGAGTATTCCCTGTGCATCACCAGGTGTGACCCCCCAAAAAATAGATAATACACTGGATCATAACACAAGTCTTAATAAATATTAAAGAATTCAATTTTTGTAAAGTATTTATGTAACACGAAGAAATTAAATTGAAAACAAATAACAAAATAAAACCTCTGAAAAGATTTGAAATATTTGAAAATTAAATAACACACTTCTAAATTAACCATAATTTAGAGAAGATTTTACAAGATAGGATAATACTGAGCTGAATGAAGGGAAAGTACGATATATCATAGTTAATGAGATGACAGCAAAACAGTATAAAGGAAAGAGTTTTTTAAATTATATCTTGATTATATTTGAATTATAGAATGATCTTAAATTGATTTCCTCAGAATCAGCTAGAAAATAGAAAAATAAGAAACAAACTCAGAGTAAGCACAGAACTAGAGATAATGAAGAGAGGGGAATCAGAGAATCTCAACTGACTGCAAGCAACCCCACAATTGATGTATGTAGTCAGCATGGGGCCTCCAATCCTCCTTCAAAGCTTGGGAGGGAGTCAAACTTCATGAAGAGGGTAGAAATGCCCCGGACCAGCAAGAAGCTGGCAATGCCACACCATAGACAACACAATCATATTGTATTTATCACCCTTCCCAGAAAGTTACTTCACTCAGTTGACTCAGAAAACCACTGGATAACTGAGCAGGGTAACTCATACCTCAATTTATATCTCCCTCATAATATTAGGAACAATGATAAACTGAAGGAATTCACCTGCATCAGCGAATGGTTGCAAATATCCAGGAATATTCTCAACCATTACAGAACTTTTAAAACTTCATAAAGAAGGCTTTAGAACAATAATCCTACCAATGTTTAATGACAAAGAAAAAATAGTTTAAAAAATCAATTAAGTTGAAGAGAACTTGATGAAAAAATGAACAAATTCTTTCTAATAAAAATGAATGAGCTGAAGAATACACCAACAAGTCTCAGTTGCAGGATAAAGATGAAAATTAAACATCTTCAATGTTGAAGACAAAATACACAGCTTCATAAATAAAGAAGAGATAACAGAAAAGAGATTGAAAAGCAAATAGAAAAGTTCAACAAAGGATCGTATACAATAATGAAGTGAGACTACTCCCAGTGATGCAAAGAAACATAAATATTGTTAAAATGACCATCCTGCCAATGCATTAAACAAATTCAGGGAAAAATGCATCAAAATTCTAATTGCATTTCTTGAGGAATCACAATAAAATCTACTAAATATTTTTAAAAAATTATAAAATTTCCAAGATAACCAAGATATTCTAAAAATAAGATGGGAGGTATTAGGCTTCTTAGAATTATTCTATTAAGCTATAATGATTAAGAACATGTAGTACTGGAAATAAGACAGACCCTTAGACCAATAGAACAGATTTGAGAGCCCATTAATAAGCCTTCAAATGTTTGGGTAGTTATGATAGAGGAACTTGGTGAATAAAGTACATCAAGAAAATATCTTCAAAAAATAGTACTGGGAAAACTGGATAGACAAATGAAAAATATAAAATGAAAGTAGAAGAAGATTTTTAAATCTTATCTCACACATTACAATAGTTAATTCAAAATAGGATAAGAGCCTTTAAATTAGACCACTGCCCATAAAATACATTGAGGAAAACTTAGGTAAATATCTCCAGCACATGGGTCTCAGAGTTTTTTCAATTAAGAAGGAATGATTACATAAACAAAAATGGGACTACATCAATTGAGTATGGTTTTTAAATACAAAAGAAACCTGGGCTAATATCCAATATATATAAGCCATTCACAAAGTTCAACAAGGAAAATACCAACAACCTCATCAAAAAATATGATGACAGGGACTGGAATGATAGCACAGCGGGTAAAATTTGCCTTGCACGTGACCCACCTGGTTTCGATTCCCAGTATCCCATATTGTCCCCCAAGCACCACCAGGAGTAATTTCTGAGTGTATGAGCCAAGAGTAAACCCTGTGCATCGCTGGGTGTGAGCAAAAAAAAAAAAAAATGAAGACAGATGAAGAATCACTTCCCTCAAGAAGACATAGAAGGCCAGAAGGCATATGAAAAAGTGTTCAATGTTATTTAATATCAGGAAAACACAAAGAAAAAGAGCCATCATTATATACCAATAAGAATCTGTCACTGTTCTTCCATTGTTCATTGATTTTTCTCCAGCAGGCCCAGCAACATCTCCATTTTGAGACTTGTTGTTACTGTGTTTGGCATGTCGAATACATCACAGGTAGCTTGCCAGGTTTTGCTGTGCCAGTGAGATACTCTCAGTAGCTTGCTGGGCTCTCCGAGAGGGGCAGAGGAATCGAACTCGGGTCAGCCATGTTGGCTGCGTGCAAGGCAAACGCCCTACCCGCTGTGCTATCGCTCCAGCCCCAATAAGAATAACATGGACCAAAAGAACTGGAAACATCCAGTATTGTCTGGATATCTAGGTCTAGATATATAATCAGAGTTGTATAGAGGGAGAAAATTTAGTGATAATGACCCTTAACAAGAAATAAAGGTAAATAATAACGAAACAGGGGGAAGAGGTAACATCTTATCAATTCTACTGAGAGCAAAAAATGATATGTATATTGTGAAAACACTTTCATCAATAAATATATCAATTTAAATTAGTGTTTAAATTCTTTGAAAGATACATATATTTAAAAATCA